GCACTCCCTTGTTGGGGGCATATGCAGACGGGAGGCTGGAAGACCCTTCCCCAGGACACTGGCAGACTCAGGAAGAGGCCCATGTGTGCTGATGGCTGCAATTGCCTGCTCAGTGCATGGAAGGAGAAAGTGGGCTTCAGAGCAGCATGGGCCTCTGTGTGCATGATCTAAATTCAGCTCCCCATCCTGCCTGAAAGCATTTGCACCCACAGAAAAAACCAAATCCCCAGTCTTAACTATCTGTACACCATAAACACCCAACCGGAAACTGCACTGACACTTCAAGAAGCTAGGACCAAAGCTAAAGGCAGATGTGAGTAGCCACCCCCAGAGAGCTGCAGAACACAGCCAGGGTGGTTAGAATTCCGAGGAAAGGGAAGGTGCCTGGCCTCATGAGTTAGAATACGCAGTGTGGACTATTTCCTAGAATTGTTTTGTGGTAGAAGAAGTAAGAGCAAGGAAGGATGGTGCAACGGACTGCTATCTTGTTTTAAGCCAAGTAAGAAAGTTTGGCTTTTTAAAAATAGGTGCAGAAAAAAGAGGGATTGGGGAACTAGCTCAGTGAGTGAGAGCTTGAGAGCAAAAGACCCTGGGTTTGATCCCCAGCACCACAGTAAGCAAACAAATAAAACTGGGTACATACATTCCTGTGTTAAAATAGAGCAGGCAGGCACCATGACATTGGCTTTGAGAGCGTACGTGGCATCTTTCTTCTGAGCTTTAGTTCTGTGCTGGGTCTGTTGAGTGTGTTTGTGGGCTTACAGTTACCCTGCCATGAGATCCAGAGCATGGACTTCTCTGCTTCTTGTCCTGTTACCCCACTGCACTAAAGCTGGGGCACAGGCACGGTGCCTTGCTCAGTACCCCAGAGTCTGTCCTCCTTGACACACAATTAAATTTCCCTTGCTCACTAGTTGACTGTGAATAAAGGTGAAGTAAGTGTGTTTGGTGGGCGGGATAATGGCCTGCACAGACACCAGATCCTAATGTCTTGGTCCCTGTGTTGCTTCCTATGACAGAGATTTTGCAGACATGACCTGGTGAAGGGTCTCGGGATGGAGGGTATAATCTGGATGTTCTATATGTCACCTGGCCCGAATCAAGGTCACAAGTGTCTTTGGAGGAGGAAGGCAGAGGTCACTGTGTCTACAGAAGAGGGAGATGATGTGACCGCTGGTGCCAGAGACAAGTCTGGCTTTGAGGACAGCATGAGGAAGGACAGAGGCCAGGACACAGACCTCCCTGAGGAGGTGCACTCCCTCCAGCACCTTGGATTTCGCCCATCCAAACTGACTCTGTACTTATGATCTCCAGAACTGTGAGACAGTTAGTGGGTTGTTTCAAGCCCCAAGTTTGTAGTAACTTGTTACAGCAGCAACAAGACACTAACACATTGAAAGTCCTGACAGGTGCACAGGCTTGTTCAGATAGCTCTGGAACTATTTCAGGAAACCACAGCGACCTCACTCCAGGCAGTGCCTGCCGCCTGGGGCGTTTCTGGGCCCCAAAATCTTTCCTCCTGTCTCACCGCCCCCAGCTGCCTCATTTTTGCTCTGATGTTTCTGGTGAGGTCAGATGTGAGTGTGTGCACAGCACCACAGAATCCTGCTTTTGTTCAGTGATTCAAGAACAACTTAGTAAGCATTGCAATTGCCTTGCCATTGACGAGGCTGTATATGGGAGCCTTTCCTGGAGGTGAGGGGAGTGTTTCCAGTGGGTTAGGATGTTAGTTAGGATCGAGTCCTGACGATGGCTAAGAGTGTCATGAAGGAAAGAGGAAGATGGCTAGGCCAAGGGAGCTGCTGCAAACACAGGTCTAGAGCATGACCAGCCGAGTGTGTGTCGGGATCCGCCACTTTCCTCTCCCTGGACCTCTCTGTGCTACAGGATTTATGAGAGGAATCCCGGAGGGGGGAGGGGGTCCAGATGACATTGCTGAGGGATTTAAAGAGAAAGGTATGGGTGGTGGGGTGGACGATAGACATTCATACAGATATGTATCAGAAGGACTGCCATGGGCTGTAGGAGAAGCCTTGGAAAGAAGCCCTCCTGTCCCAAGGAGAGCTCGGAGGAGAAAGCGTGCAGGACACTTACAACACCAGGGCACCTCCCTCTGAAGGAGACACCCCAGGAGTGGAGGAAGCAGAGGCCCCAGCAAGCAGGGAGTAACCACCAGGGTTAGGTATAGTAGGCATGTCTGGTAGGCCCGGCCTAGAAGGTGGCAGGGTGCCAGGTGGACCTTGTGCAGGGCACTGCTGTGAGGAACGCTTACTGTGGGTTGACGGTCAAGTGGTGGTCTGGAAAACCGGGTGGGAGATAGTGTGATTACCTGGGAAATGGGTGTCATCCACACGGATAGGCAGTGGCAGAGAATGGCTCTGTCCATCACAGGGACTACCTGCTCTTTCTCCCATTGACCTCCCCTCCCCCAGGTGTCTGAAATGAAGGTGTATGGCAACACCTGCCCTTCTCCTTGTACGGTTCTGAGACCCATTCATGGTGGGTCACTAGCTCCAACCCCCTTGTGCAGTCCCCTACTTTCTCCTGATTCACCTCCTTCCCTGCCACCAGTCCCTGGTGACCAGAATCTGATTTCTTCCCTGCAGCACTGTTGACTGTGAGAGCAGTGAGCATATGATGACTTTTAGTGCCGGGTGTCAGGAATGCGGATTTTACTTGCTAATCTGGGCCTTTCAATTTTACAGAAAAGGGTTTTATTTCTTCACTCTTTCTCCCCAAAACAATTTGAAGCTCTTTGGGTTTGTCTGCTAGGGTTTACTGAATGCTTAATAGAGAACTGATTCGAGCATTTTTGCAAGTAACTTCTTAAGAAGAAGTGTTCTAACAAGGAAGATTGCACCTGGTGCATGGTTGTGTTTTCAAGTTTTTTGTTTTGTTTATTTTTGCAAGTATTGGGAGTTGAGCTCAGGGCCTCCACTTGCTAGGTGAGCACTCTACCACTTGAGCCATGTCCTCAGTCCTTCATAGGCTTTTGGAATATTTTCCTTAATGCATTTGGGTGATGACAAATAACACTTTGCAGTAGAAACAAAGCATATTGTCAGGATAGTTAACTGCAACTGGGAAAGGTCTCAGTGGTTCAGTGTTAAGTTCGAAGATGCGTCTCCACAGGGTGCATTGTGGTGCCAGTGGCCCAGCTGTCACTGATGATAAGATGACAGTGCTAATAGTCTGAAGTAGATGGCTCACTTGTAGCTGCTGTTTTTGTTGAATATCCTGTAACTTGGTTAAGATCACGAATAACCGTTCTGGCTCAACTGTCCTCACACCGAGACCTTTTTCGCAGGTGTTTGATTTCTGTGGCATTAGGTCTGGAACCGGTGCCTTGCCGCCGTCAACACACAGCACCACTCAGGGCGGCTTTCCCACCTCAGTAGTAACTCGTCAGTACTTCACCTCTCCGCCCTCCGTCATCTCCCTGCCACTGTGACCCTGACTGGCTTTACAGGAAGAATGCCAGTGTTGAGTGCATTTGGTTTCCAAATAGTAAAGAAGTAAATGGTTTGCCTTCAAGGCCTGCTGGGTACCCTTGAGTGGCCTTGGGTGTTGCTTGCTCTCAGCAAGGCAGGGCTGCTGTCCTTATGGCCTTCCTCTGTTCTCCCAGTCTCAGAAGTCCGAGTCCTCATTCCTCCAGGAAGTCTGGAGCATGAAATGCTAGCACAGCCAAAGCCTTGGGAGAGCCTGTGGGCTTTCTTCAAGCTCAAAAAGGTTCCCTGTTTTGTTTCTTTATAACCAAAAACTAAGACTCAGGCAAAACCTGTGAGGTGACATTGAAAGCAGCTGAATGTGGTGTTTTGCATGTGGAGGTAGAAATCTGTGTTGAGTGTACCCCTTGGAGAACTGACCCACACGATTTGTGAAGAAATGAACAAGTATTACCTGAGGGTCTGCGCCTACCACCTGCTCTGCAGGAATCACCTTGACGGGCTGCTAAGAGCACGTGCGTTTTTAAGCTGCATCAAGGGACGTGTAGGTAACTGCCCCCCCCGTTTTGCATGGTTGGACTGCACCTAGATTGTTAAATCTGGGCTATTCCCAAGTAAACACTAAGTTTGGATGTTGCAACAAAGCATTCTGATCACCTTTAGCAGAGCTTGGTGGTAGGAAACGCATCCAGTGTCTAGAGGGAGCTGCCTTCAAAGCAGTGTGTTACCCACCATCAGGTGAGTTCTGACCAGGAGGCTCATTTGAGGAGTAGGGGTTGCTTCTGGAACATTTTCCCTGTGTCTTTGTCCCCCACTGCTGGGCAATGTCTGGTATGTAGCTATTGCATAGATCCTGTGCTCCATGGACGGGATACTCAAGGTCCACTCCTGTGGTGGAATTGATCGTGTGATTCTTGGTCCCTCTCAAGGACCGGTGATCTATGGGAAAGAAAAATTAGCTGACGGGATTAAGTACTGGATTTGCAGACACAATTTGACCTCAGCAGCCTAGGGACTGCTGTGTTTCCTGCTCCTGAGACAATAGGTGTTTTAAGTGACCTGCAATGAAGGGGTGACCTTTGCCCCTCCACTGCTGGCCAAGGTTATACTGGCCAGTCTGTGTGGCTCACTAGGTAACCTCTGGAGCCCTCCTTCAGTCCGAGAAGGTCACCTCCCACATGGAAGGAGCTGGGTCATAAGGACTCTGTGAGGAGCCCTGTCCATCTTAGCAGTGTGTGAGGATAGCAGTCCCCCTTTCCCAGGGTGCTGTCCACAGAATAGCCAGGAATAGCCAGGCCGCAGCTTTGGATTGGAGCTGCCTGCTGCTCTAGCAAAAGTTAGCATGAGAGCAAGAGAGGAGGGAAATGAGACAAAGTGCGATGGAAAAGCACATCTGGACTGGAAACAGAAGATTCCATCCCACACGTATGGGGAATCCTGGGGTGTGAGCCTTGTGGCACTTCTCCAGAGACTTGGTGCGAAAACTGAAAGATACCCACGCTGCTCTCTGATGCCTTCTCTCTCTTCTGATGCCTCCGCTGTCTTCTGTTACAGAGCACCAAAACTACTTTGGAATAGATGAAAACCTCGGGCCAGTGGCAGTCAGTATCCGGAGGGAGAAGGTGGAAGACGCCAAGGAGAAAGAAGGGTCCCAGTTCAACTACCGGGTGGCTTTCAGGACGAGTGAGGTAACTGGGGCTTTGTACCGTGACTCTCTGGGGGGTTATCTAAACCACTGTTGATGTTACAGCTTCAGTTTACTTCAGACTGAATTCGTTTTTAATGTTTTCCAGCATGTAAGGTCATTGAAAAGGAGGTTGCAGGGCTTTATTCCAAGTGAAAAGCCTAGAAACCTGACTGATGTTGGGTAGCAGTGACTTCACTGCCACCTCAGGATAGAGAGGGTGACCTGATGAAAGTGGAAGGCATGGGGTTGAGACACAGGACAAACACAAGCTCCTCATTCTGTCAGTTTGAAAGTAGCTTTCCACCTTACACAGAAAATCAGGTCAACATCTGCCAGACAATGAGGGGAACATCTGGCTAGAGGTCCCCCACTGTGGCAGCCCTGTCCACACTACCTGGAGGACCACCTGGCCTCCTGAATCATCTCACATTAAATGAAAAGTGGGATTGTTACACAGACAGTGCAGTGCGGGCAGTGGAACCAACAGTCACCAAGACACGCAGAGCCAGCTTGGGTCTGCACTGCAGATTCTGTTCCCCCAGCCAGGCCTGCTCAGGGGATGTGGGTTTTTCCTATATTCCTGAGCGTTGAGTTTTGGTTGACTGCTTCCGGGTCAGACAGAGGGAATGCTGGCCTGTGCAGGGGTTTCAGTGGCCTGGGCTTAGTGCCGACATGTGAGAATGAGCTAAGCGCCGCTCAGAGTGACACAGTTCAGTGCAGTATCATTATCCCCCGCTGACCAAAACTTAAAGTAGTCATTAAATTCAAAACAATCAAATAAAGTCAGAAGGTCAGCCTCCATCACACCAGTCACCTTCCATGTGCTCAGAGCCAGCGCGGCTGATGCAGGCAGAGGGTCCCAGCCCCTGCATATGGCTCTTAAGACTATTTTAGGGCATCCCTGTGACCACACTCAGCCAAGGAGGCAGGAGGCAGATTAGAGCCAGGTCCTCGATGCACACAACTGGGGCTTTCTCCATCGTGTCAGCTCTGAGATGCAGGCTCAGAATGCTGACCCCAGGCACCAGGACACTGTGGAGGACATGATGCAGACCTTGAGGCCAAATCCAGTGGTCACCTTTCAGCTCTGGCTCACCAGCCCCAGTGCCACCAGCTGTCCACATTTGGGCCCAGGAATGCTTAGCCTGGAAAGTAAATGGAAGATAAGAAAGAGAGTGGAAGAAAAGAGGCCATGTAGAGAAGTGGGCAGCAGGAGAAGGCAGAAGGACAGGTGGGAGAAAGCAATGCTGGTGGGGCTGTGATGGCCCTGTCCTCTCCTCTCAGCCTCCCCATGTGGGTTGTCATGGCTCTGTTCTGCCTGGGTTTTCCCCATTCTTCTGATTTTCTCAGCTCTGCCTGGCCTATCCCTGATCCCTCTCTATCATTTCTGTTTAAAAAAGGAAGAAAGTTGATTTTGTTTTTCGAATGGAGCTACTTGGTCTCTTTTGTCCTGCTTAGAAAAGAGCCTTGCTACTCTTCTTCCTTTTCAAGGCAGTCAAACAGTGACTCCCTACTAGGTAACCAGCACAGGCACTGACTGGCATCTCGTGTTGCCTGCAGCTGACCACCCTAAGAGGAGCCATCTTGGAGGATGCTGTGCCCTCCACCGCCCGGCACGGCACCGCCCGGGGCCTCCCTCTCAAGGAAGTGTTGGAGTACGTCATCCCAGGGCTGAGCATCTCATGCCTGCGACAGGCTTCCAGCTCCCCCAAGGTCCCAGAGCAGCTGCTCAAGCTCGACGAGCAAGGAGTGAGTACAGCTTGTAGGATGGGGGTGTGCGTGAACTTGTGTCCTGTTTCTCAGTGTCCGGGAGTTCCCATCCATCTTTAAGACCATTTACTGTAAGTGCCTTCAAGCATTTTCTCTCTAGTTTTCCCCGAATACACTTCTGTTCTAGTTGAGAGACACAGTGCTTTTGTCGTGTAGTGCACCCCTGCTGAGTTGTGGCTGGTTTTGGTTAGTGTCCCCACTAGAGCATCTGGAGACATGATTAATAATAGAGGCTGCTGGCGTTTCTGCACAGGGTTTACAGATCTCGTGTTGGCCTTTGTGTCAGTGGTTGTCTGCTGTATCAGGATCATGCTGAATGGGGGTGTGCACAGCAAGCTTTAGGAAGACTCCAGCTGACTAGGACCGAGCCCCTAGGGCATGGACAACAAGACCGAGAGCCCACTAGCCTCCCAGGCAGAGGCCAGAAGGGGGGTCTGGAGAGTTGGAAGTGCACTAAGGGTTTTGGGAAAAGAAGAGGAAACACCCTTCCAGGCAGGTCTCTGCAGGAAGTGGTGTTCACCTGGTCTCCAGACTCCATAGACTTCCCAGAGGCAGATGGAAGAAGCCAGCTGCTCCAGAACTGTGGCCTTGCAAGTCACTTTACAGAGAGAGAAGGTTGTGAGGGGGAAACCCAAGCTGAGGGCAGAGCTGTACAGGAGCTTGCTCTGGGTTCAGGACACCTAGGGAGCTAGTAAAGGTTTCTCATGGGATACGGCATGATCCGAGCTGTGTTTTAGGAGGTCATTCTGTAGAGGGCATTGGACCAGCTGAAGAGGGTAGAGACCAATGGTGACTTGGAGCCCAAAGGTGTGACCACTGACGTCACCCAGGAGAGGATCGGTGATACCCAAGAGTGGAATGTGGCCAGGAGATGGAAAAGGTCTTTTGAGTTTCATTTGAAAATAACCTATAGGGGAGACAGAGGTGGGTGCCCAGGTGCACACAGTCTGTTGTGAACAGTTAGATTTGGTTTTAAGTGTGTGATTTTTTTAAGAAAAGACAATGGTAGTATATATTTCCAGAACTTCTCAAGGAAGAGTTTTGATCATGTTTTCGAGATGTTTCTCGGCTTACCCAGCAACACTGGTGACATGGAGTATTTGGTACTGCAAAAGGCTGGAGTGCTAAAGCCAGTGAAATTGCAGATGGTTCGACAAGTTAACACTGCATTAGTAACAAGAAGTCAGCATGTACTGAGTAAGCCAGAGACCTGTCTGTCTCAGGAGTGAAAGCTGACAAGTTAAAAAGCAGACCCCATCTCTAACTGCAAGGGCGGCTCCCCACATTGTAGGACATATAAACTAGCATCCCTATGACTAAGACTGGCAGAGTGCATGGGATGCACGACCTGTTGGGAAGCGTCTGAGGAAACACACTTTGGGGTACCACGTTCTCAGCCCAGGCAGCCTAGTGGGGAGAGCATTGGTTTCCAATCACAGGTGACTCAGTACCTGTGCTGTGGTGGGTCTTGTCCCTCTCTGCTTCTAGGATACATTGGTTTTCTCTCTGAAGGGCTTCACTGTGCTGTGCAGCAGGTGTCTGATGGGGGAGTGTATGGCCCCTGAGGTTGCTCCAGAAAGTTCTGTAAAGCATCCATTTTTCCCAAAGCCTCCGGGGAGCAAGGGCTCTCTGCAGAGCAGCAAGGCGATGTGGTGGCTGTGGTCCACTGTCTCCTAGCAGAATGAAGCAGGCATTCAGGATGCCTTTGCCAGGCATCGGAAGTGCTTTTGTGAACATCTCTTTACAGTCTGATGTCAAGAAGCTAATTTTGAAACTGGTTCTGCTTTTAAACAAACCATGTACTCTGTGGCTCCCGTGGTGGCTTCGGCCCCCCGAGACATCCATTGTTGAATGTGTTTGGCTGTCACACTTGCTGGTAATGTTCAAATTTACTCCCCCAACTCTTCATGTCTTATGGGAATCAAATACCATCAAGAACAATGCTGCTGATTTTCATCCCTCAGAGACTAGACAGCTTTTTTTTTCATCCCCATTTCTAAAGGAGCCTTACCAGTCACCAGTGGCCTGCTGACAGTGGGGACTTTAGGTAGTGCTGGTTCTGTTCATTTTCCTGGCAGAACATCTACCCAGGAGCTTGGCCAATGTCATGATACCCTTCTGAAGACTTTTAATCATGATAAATATTCAGATATTTCCTGTGTGCAATTACGTAAGCTGCCACTCCTGCTCTCTTGGTGTCTACAGCCCATCCTGGTCCAGCGTAGTCAGCTGCTGAGGGTCTCTGTTCAAGACATGATCAAACATGAAAATGCCTGTTCAGGTGGTTCACTCCATTCTTGCAAGATGTTTCTGAGAAGGAAGACTGAATGCTGTGACTATGAACCAGGACCTTGAGTGTTTTATACAGTATCACCTTTTTAAAAAGACAGTCCTAATTTATTTAATAGTTAAATTCATAAAATTGTATGGGTTGCCCTTTTAAAAAAAAGTTACTGCGATGAATTATGGTAGTGTCTAAATGCTCAGTACACGTGACGTCTTTGGCAGGATGGGCGATCTGCTCTTATGCTAGCGCCTCTCCCCCTTGGCACTTGGTTGGATGCACAGGCACCTATCAGGTTTGCTCCTGACACAGGCCCTGGGTTCCCATCAATAGACTGAAGTCTTGAGCCTGGACACTGAGTCATTGCACACGCTTGGAGTTCAGGGCAATTCTGAGGTTTTGTTTTCCTCACCTGCATTTTGATCTAAATTTTCTTGTCAATAAGAACAAAGCTTTTGCTCTTGGGGATAGAGCAGCCAGTTTTGATCCTGTCCCAAAAAGAGACACTAGTTGTGTCCTCTGGTGTCTGCATGTCCATCCACTTGGTAGCACTAAAGCCTTGGGAACCCTTGACGACTGAATGTTCTGGCTTGGAACAGGGTTCACACCTAGGGCTGGCCAAGTGTCACCCTCAGACCTTAGGACTGGCTGCAGCTCATATCATATCATGTTGGTTAGAGAGGTTGGTTAAATGTTGAGTTCAGCCTGAGGTTTAGCAGGTTAGAAGCAAAACTGTGTTCTGGGAGGACTGGTGACTCTAGCATCCAGGAGCAAAGTTGGCTCTGCTGTGTGTTGTGCCGAGCTGTTGGTCAAGCTGCTGGCTTGCTGGTGGATCTTAGGAGAAAGGGCAGTCTCTAACATTTCTGTCATTTTCATGCTCTCTAAAAGAAACAGAGGTTTCTTTCTAGATGTCATACAATTATCATAACTCTCATAGTTAAGCAAGCCACACTGTACTTCTCCCTTAAGTTCCATCCTGTGGACTGCTCCCTTTGCAAACAGGTGACAGAGGCATGGCAGGTGGAGACATGAACAGTAGCCCTGTCCTGTGTCTATCAGGGTGAAGCCTAGTAACTGTCATACATACCTGAGGGCTTTGAGAATGGCTTTAGCCCTGATTCCTATGACCCAGGCATCCTGGCTAGCAACACAAGTCCTGTTCACAGTTAGGACTTAGCACAGGCTGGTTTTTCTGTGGGTGGAGGAGAGGGTGAGCTATCAGGGTGACAGCTCAGCATTGAGCAGAGAAGTCTCCTAGGATCTCATTTCTCCAGTTTTTTGGGGCCTTTGCCTGAATGAGGAGTCAGAAATACGAGACCCTACACTCAGGAGTTAGAGAAAGCATACAGTCTAGGGAGGGCTCTGCTTAGCCAACCCAAGGCCACACCATGCCCAGACCCTGGGCTCCTCCCCCAGAGAGGTAGGTATGAGGAGAGGAGGGGCTTCCTCCCAGAGATGCCAGGGAATAGACCAGACAAGCTACCCACATAGGGCACTGCAGGACATGTGGCGCTCAAATGAGGTGGCACATGACCCTGGCAGGGCTCCCAGGTGAGCAGCAGGTGAAGGAGCAGAGAAAGGGCAGACACCAGTGGCAGCCACCAGGACTGAGCTCTGAGAACGTGGGTGACTGGGGGGCTGCCTCCTAGGTGCCAAGGACACAGGGACACTGGGACCCACAGGACTGGGCTGAACATGTGGCAGCCTTGATATTCTGCACGGTTAGTGGTGGACACTTGTTAGGGTCAGGGCCACATAAGCAGAGAGTTGAAATCTTCTAACAGTGAAAGAAAGTCAAGCCACTGTGACACTGAGGATGCTACAGTATAAATACAGTGCCGGCGGTCACTAATTCATTAAACTCTGTGTAGTAATCGTAGAGCATGACCCTAGTGTGGTCAAGATCCTGAAATGTGTCCTGAGCCACTCGGGTGACTGCTGTTTACGATGAAAAGACGTAAGGTGTTTTTATTGTACTTGGCATTTTTTTGGAAAACTTCTTGACCCTCCCAAAGAGCTAGTCGATAAAGTCTGTGACACCAGGAGTAAGTGGTTGCTGATCCTTGTCTCACGGCCCACGCTCCAGGGCTGGACCACTGGCTTCACCAGGCTTTGGTGGAGCTTGTGGATGATGGTGCTCTGGGCTCTCCACACAGCCTTGTGCCCAGCAGCACAGGCAGTTGATTCCATTAGCTGTGAGCAGGTAGCGGTTCCTTTATAGCCCCACAAGGCACCCAGTCAAGGGGACCGTCTGCCGCCTGTGAGGACCTTGGACAGGCATCACAGACTGCTCCCCTCCACGTCACGGCGTGTATCGTATTGTGGATGAGACTGTGCTCGCTGTGTTGCTGCACAGGGGAAGTATCACTTTGCCTTGTTTTACTGAGATGGTCACTGTGAGTTCTGATTAAAGGCTATTTGGCTTCTCAGTAATAAAAGTGAACTGTTCTATGACTTGATGTCTTCAGGGATTCAGTGATGTCTGATACTCTGTCAGTCTCGGAGATTTGGGTGGCTGCAGCAAGATTAAGATGTCTCTCTGATTGTATGAGAGAAAAGTAGTAGTTCTTCCAGGAAAAATGAGAGCACTGTAAAGACAGGTCTGGTTTCTCCTGTCCCCCTTGGGAGGACATCCCGTGCCTTCCAGTGTGACATGGTGCTGACTGAGGCAGGAACTCTTCAGTCACTACTGACACACTGTATGGTGTATTGTATGTATAGCAGATGTTTTCATTTCAAGATAGTCAAAAATGTGAGAAGTGACTGTAACTGTACAACGCAACACTACTTTTATGGAAACAAAACCTCGTTCTGTTTATACACATACATCACAACTGTTAAGGCTTCTTGCCTTAACAGACCCAATGAGATTTGTGTTTTCCTTCCCGAATGTTCGGATAAATTAGAGATGAAAAAGGCACCAGAACCCAGGAGGGAGAGCTTTTCAAAGTCCGTGGCCTTCTCTTCTTCCCCACTTGGAAGATGATTTCTAATCACTGCGTACGGTGTATAAGACTAAGTACTTGCTGAGTTGCCTCTGTGAGCCGATGCTTGAACTGGACTGTGGTCTTTCTGGAGCCCTGGTGGTTCCCACACAGCCATCGTTGTGTTGCATCGGGTCTCGATGCCCCCAGCTATAAACTGGATTCTGGCTTTGGTGCTTGTTTCTAGGCCCTTTTCCACTTCTCGCTTATTTCATTACCGAGTTTGTTCCCACCTGCTTCCTGGGAACAGAACTGTAAATTTCTGTAGTTTTACTTTTGCTGGAAGTGAAGGTGCCTAGACTCTGTGTCAAATCATTTCTTTTCCTCCCGTTTCAGCTGAGCTTTCAGCACAAAATTGGGGTCCTTTACTGCAAAGCAGGCCAGAGCACAGAGGAGGACATGTACAACAACGAGACGGCGGGGCCGGCCTTGGACGAGTTCCTCGACCTCCTCGGCCAGAGAGTGCGGCTGAAAGGGTTCAGCAAGTACCGCGCCCAACTGGACAACAAGAGTGAGCTCTGCGTGTGTCTGCGGGGGGTACGGTGTGTGTGTACATGCAAGTTCAAGCCTCCCAAGGTGGGGGTAGAAAGCACATTTCTCCAGAGCTGTGTGTCACATCCCAAGCTCGAAAGGTCAGTGCTTTTCTTTGTAACAGCAGGGATCCCATAGTGTGTCCTGTGGATCTTTCCAGATTCCCCTCCCCTTCTTAACCCACCCTCTTCTCTGACACCCTTGTTTCAGGATGCTAAGGGCAGGTGCTATATTTTATCCCAAGAAACACAGTACTGACACACTCACTCATTGCGTGTTACTGGCTTTTTTTCATTTCTGCATTTGGGTGTTAGCTAGGGAATTGGAACAGTAAGTAGGAAGCTGACGCATCCTGTCAGTCTAGGATCTGTGTCGGGGCCCCTGGAGTGGGACACCGAAGCCCAGTTCAAAGCATGCACGTTCTGTCCTCCTGTGATGTGTGACCGTGTGGCTGTCTTCATCCAGAAGATGGAATTCCTCAGGGTCTCATGACAAGTTCTGGATCTTTCATCCTGTGCTGTTACGAAGTTGCTGTCAGCACCTGAAATACGACATGGTGCAGTTTTACATATTTGGGGAAAGTTCTTATCAAGCAGTTAATTCTGCTTTTTTAGTGACAAGTTCAGCAGAGAAGATTCTAAAGTTCGGGGGATCTGAGGGTGTGTGAGGCCCTCTCCCAGGAGGGGTGGTGGGAGTGAGGCAGGAGTTTTCCTAGTGGGAGCAGTAGGGTGCAGCCAGGCCAAGACCAGAAGGGAGCTGGTCTGATGCCTGCAGCACCCACCCTCTGTTCTCTGAGTTTCCAAGCCTGCCCCAACACCCACTCAACTTGGGCCCATCATTGATGCTCTGTCTGGATGAGTAGGGGCCTGCACTCAGTTCTGGTTTAGACCTCTTTTTGAAAGTTACTAGGTTCTTCAGAAAACGTGACAATGGTGATGACTTCACCTAGGCTTCTATGTCCTCCACACTCGCTGGGGCTGGAGCTCAATCTCGCAGAGAACAAATGTAGCTGAGCCTCAGACACGTAAAGTCAGAGGAATAACTCATGGTGCCAGTCTGCAAATAGCCACGTGTGGAAGGAAAGCCTACAAATAGCCACACGTGTAACAAAAGTCAAGTAACCTCTTCTGATTTTCCTTCTTTTTTCTTTTCAAACTCCCCTTTCCTACAAACCACAATTCTCCCACTAGCGAGGCTAAGACATGGCCCTTGGGGTCTCCTGAAGCCACTGGGGGGGGACATGGACTCCTGTTGCTCTGAGGGTGCAGCCTCTCCCATCAGTGGGCTGTGCAGAGTAGACATTTCAGGAGCTTTGGATCCACATGATCTATAAAACTATAACAGATGAGCCCAGTCTCCTACGGAAAGAATTAGCATCCTCTTTGTGTTTTGATGACCAAGGGGATGTCTTGATGCCTTATATCCCACAGAGGTGAGAACTGGATTTTGAGAGGTTGAGTCTGATACTCCAGATATTTAAGGTGAGAAGTAAGGCGTTCTGCATGATGCAAAGAAGTCTGACATTCTTGGAAAAAGAGGAGAGATCTAATAGTTGGGCACCTTGCAGTGGTCACCTAAAAGCCACGTCTTCCATGGAACGGCCAGTACACATCTTTCTGAAGTTCAGGCGAGTCCGATTTTAGTGTTGATTGTGTGCCCATGATGAGTCAAACCTGGGCTCAGAGTCCTCACAAGGAAAGTTTAGGGCATGACCTGAATAACCAGGATGTCCTTCCAGCACTGAAAGCACCCTTTCCTCTTTAGCACAAAATGAGTGGAGAGGAGCAAGAGTATCCACTGCTGCGGTAGTCTGCTCACCAAGCTCACATGGTCCTGGCCATAGGCAGACAGTGGCCATACTGATGGTCAGCTCTCTTTTTGAGTAGAAATATTTATAGCCAAGCCTTGAACAAGTTTACCTTGTCCGTGGTCACGCTGGTGTCTGAGATGAGGCCCTTCAGAATGTTTACTGTTAGAAAGTCAGCTCAAGCCAGGCATGGTGGCACAGGCCTATAATCCCAGCACTCAGGAGACTGAGGCAGGAGGATCAGGAGTTTGAGGCCAGCCTGAGCTACATAGTCAGATCCTGTCATTTTTTAGAACTGGTCAGGATAGACAAGTCATGACTGCATCTTGAGAAATGTTCCTCCTCCCCCCTGCATCTTCCTTCTATCATTGCGTTTCCCTGATCTGAAGTATAAAGCCAGTCTGGTTTCTCCTCCTGAACTCTGACCATCCTAACACAGAGGGACATCCAGGCGGGGGGGGGGGCTGACTGTTTCATCATCCCACCCTCGGTGTCTTGATAGTGAGTGAATTCATCCTTCCTTCTGAAAGGGCACATTGCCTCCCAAGCTTTGTGCACTGTCAAGGTTCTGAGTCAAGTTAAAATGGAATGTTAATTTCTAGAAAGCCCTGGAAAAATGACAAATACATCCTTGACGACTTGGTGAGCAGGAAGAATTCCTTTATTTGGGGAGAATCTAACCACTTGTAATGTAATTTCTGGAGATGAGTATGGAGCTCACCTGTAAATGAAATTGCCACCCACAAGGGCCTTTCCAGGGTGCCTGAGAGCTATATAGTATTTCTTCTGGAGAATGGCCAGGACTGTCTCTGAGCTAAGCATTACAAAGAAACACCACACCACAGGTTCAGAAAGAAAGCAATGGAAGTCATGAAGTTTAATATTTTAATGTTCCAAAGTAAAAATGTAAATGTTCAGAATAAAAAAAAAAAGATTTACTAAAGACAGCAGTGTGAGTTTCCCCGGAAAACACAGTGGACAAAGCACTAGTGACTGGCATTGGGGTGTTTGCTGCATAGAGAGTGGAAACTGCCTTTGTCCAGGTCACGGTGGGGACAGGCGGCCTTGAACTCCACTTTTTCCTACTGTCTTCATTCATCCTGTGCAAAATGGTCCAGAACTTTTCCTGAAGTATTTTACAGTCCCTGAATTACTTTGGGTGCCGACACCCTGTGTCATGGGTAACACAGATGGATTTAGAACCTGCAAAGGATCGTTCTGCTTTTCAAAAGCTGATCACTAGCTTCAAGATCAGTGGGGTTCAGAGTCACCATTTCTTTAACATGCATCAGCACAGATGACACAGCAAGTGGACACCCTTGCTCCTTGTTCTTAATTTGTAGGATGTGTCACCAGTGTGGATTTCTGGTGAAAGAAGCAACAATTACAATTTCCTTCAGGGAAAGAAATTTTTGTTTTGGTGGTACTGGGGTTTGAACTCAGGGTCTCCAGCTTGCTAGGCAGGTGCTCTATCCCTTGAGCCATGCCCCCAGCTGGAGAAAGAAATTTTTAAAATAATATCTTTGTTCCCTTCCCATAGTCAGTCAACCCAGTTTCACTTTTCGGTATTCTGGATGATCAAGTGCCCCGATTGACTAAGAATTAACAGAAAAGTGTTCGCACAAGGGCATTGTCAGGCCAGTCTGCTGGCAGTCACACCATTCAGGCTCGTGCCTGGACTGGCATGGCCTCCCTCCTCTACCACTCACCTGTGCACCATGAGGCAAGATGTCCTCGCCCTCCCTGGCTCCTCCAAGTGCACAGGGCAAGGTGGAGGACAGGACACTGGAGGCCACACGCTCAGCACACAGGGGAGGGCAGGGGCACTGTGGAGCACAGCAAGGCTGCACACAGTCCCTGCGAGCAAGTCCACAGCTCATGAAGCGCCTTTTGTAGAAACAAGTGTTCAATCCCGAATCCTGCACCTTCCTAACTGCTCTTGTACTTGGTTTTCAGCTGACTCCACGGGAACCCACTCCCTGTACACCACGTACAAGGACTATGAGCTCATGTTCCACGTGTCCACGCTTCTTCCGTACATGCCCAACAACCGGCAGCAGGTAAGCCCCACCGCCCTCCCTTCCAGGCCAGCCACAGGGTGCCCTGCTCCGAGAAGTCCTGATCAGCAGAGGAGTGTTTTCTTCGCTTGTATCACTTGCGAGTATTTGCATCTTACAGAGAGCATCAGCACACCTTTTCCTTCTGAGGAAATGGATGCTCTTCTGTGCTCACCTCTTACTGCTTGCTGCACAGTCTGAAGAGAAACCTGCATCAACTGTGTTAATTACAAAAGGGCCACCGTGTGGACCAGACTTAGCTTTCTGAGTGGGTAAATGACTTATTCATAGAAAATGCTATTTGCAGGTGATGCTGGTGCTATTTTCAGCTGTTCTTCCTCAGTGGATTTTCATTGTATTAACTAGATTTGTTGACCACAATATATGACCTTTTTCAGGGAAAGAACTATCACTGTGTATTATGCTTTGTACGTGTCACTCACTAAAAACCAAGATTTGAAATAGGGATGTTACATAAAGCATCATAGAACAGTCTACTAACTTTTGGTGGAGCTGTGAGATGAGCCGAGCAAGTTCTTTTGCAAAAATTGCTGACACTAGTGACTTGTGTTCATGCCCTGCAGGCACCTGCAATGGCATGTCTGCTCTGGGAGCATGTGGGGCTCTGAGGATCGTCTGGGGTAGGGAGGACCCATGGGATGGGAAGCAGGTGGGCTTTGCCAGGGCAATGGGAAGATCTCAGCTTCTGCAGACTCACTTTCAGGGACGTTTGTGATGCATCCATCTGATTTGTGGTGTGACCTTGTATAGGACTGTGATTATATTTGGGCTGAAGCCAGGGTAAGAAAAAGTTTGTTTTCGTGCTTGGGAAGCTTATATCTGATGTCGCCCACCTGCTTGCCTTTGCTGTAGTGTTTTAGAGCCCCAAGACCACAGAGGGGGTTGCCTGGTTATTTGTCCAGTGAATAAAACCTGGTTTCAGAGAATTTTCTGTTCTTTTAACACTCATGGATTGAGTCAAAATCTGCTTTTTTTTCCTCAAAGATGAAACCAGCCACCTCCCACCCCTCCCCCATCATTAGTTACATGGAACACCTTGGATCCTACAGCTGGGATGAGAATTCAGGTGCTTCTCAGGCTCTTCATGTTAAGAACAAGAGCTCCTCTTGTCATTCTCTCTCATGTCAATCGCTAGCTGGGTTTTCTTACAACTTTCTGTCTGGCACCCATCTCATCCAGCACTGAATTTTCCTGAATTTTCTCCGGTGTTTTCTACTAAGTATCTCCCTCCATCTTTGGGATCGCTGTCTCGAAATTCCACCTCTGCATATTTTTTATGAAACAGAATTAGAGAGTATTTGTGTACATTTCAACTGAGGACTATTTTGCTCTTAACACGTTTATTTTCAGTAACACTGCACAGATTTGCTGGTATTAAGGAGCCTGTTTGTCCCAGGCCAGTTTTCTAGCTGTGACTCGATTGCCAATTAAATTCTAGGAGATGCTGCTCAGAAGTAGAGGGCGTCCAGGCCAGGAGTCTGCAGTGCTCTAGCAGACTGGGGCAGAATGGGGGATGGGGCTGATCCCAGTCGTCTGCCCCAACCACAGAGCCAGACAGCTGTCTCCTTACTCCTTACTCTGAACTGAGTTGGCCCAGCCTGCCTTCCACGTGTGACAGTCTCTAAGAGTTTTGGACTCATCACTGTTACAGAACTCAAGGCTGGCTCCCTGGGCTCTCTCGTGTGAGTTTAGGGTTCCCTGTGCCTGACCCCACTTCACTGAACCTGTCCTTTCAGGTTCCACACCCAAAAGTCTGGAGGTGCAAAGTGCATGTGTAGGTGGTGGTAGAGGAGGATAGGAGTGCTCCAAACACCCAAGCTGAGGATCAAAAGAGAAGTCCCGGTCAGACCCGGTGGCTCATGCCTGTAATCCTAGCTACCTAGGAAGCTGAAATCAGGAGGATCGAGGTTGAAGGCCAGCTTGGGCAAATAGTTCGAGAGACCTCTTAGCTCTAAAATAACCAGAGCAAAGTGACTAGAGGTACAGCTCAAGCAGTAGAGCAACCTGCTTTGCAAGCATGAAGCCCTGAGTTCAAATCCCAATCCCACAAAAAAAAAATCCAGAAAGTCCCTGCAAGCTGACTTTTATAAATAATGGACTGTGTAGGTTAAAAGCCTGCTTAGTTATCCCTTTTTGTTTCTAACTTGAGGGAGAGTTCATGGCATTGTCTAAGTTGTGCTGATGGGGTACAGGTGGGAAGTGGTAAAAACAATATTGTCTCTTAGGCTCACTGAGCATGGGAAAGTGTGGCCCTGCTGACAGCCCGTGTAGGCAGGGAGTAAGGACAGACAGGGAAGACGAGAAGAGGTGAGACCAGAGTCATCACAGACCTGTGTCTGAGACTGTCACAGTCAGTCCTCGCTCTGTGGCCTTTGGTATGGTGCTCATCTCAAACTGTCATGAAAAAGGTTCTAGTGTGGCCCGGGCTCAGGGAGGGACACTGTGTTAGACCCTTGGGAGTGAAGCTGGGGACTTGATGCAGGAGCAACTTACACCAAGTGATGCCATGGTCCCTCTCAGGATCACAATGTGTAGTTCCAGGGCCTTCTTGGAGGCTTCCTTCTTGTAGGCTGAAGGAAGCTGGAGTAGGAGAAGGTGGCTGGAAGAGCAGGAAACTTGGAGCCACTCCTTGGATTGGAGTCCCAGCTGCTGGCTTTGTGACCTTGAGTAGGTGAAGGTCTCCTTTTTCCCTGAAGGCAGTGCTCTCCAGGTGCCCCGTGTACCAGGACCATACCCAGCACGGGTTGGGCAGTTAGCACTGGGTGAGAGAATAGTGAGTGAGTGGATACACCTGCTTGAGATGGTCATTCGTGAGACTTGAGAGTTAATAAGTGCAGAGCATGCCAAGTGCTCAGTGAGCTGTGGTTGTTACTAAGTCACTAGCAAGGGCACTTTGGATCTATTAGGGAGAGGTAAGGCCTGGATTGTGAAGAAAGTCAGGGACTAAATGTAACAGTAGTTTCAGAAAACTGTCTTTTCTCTGGTCTCCAGCTGTAGTCACTGTGTTCTGGCTGTAGCTAAGTGATGCCACTTTGTGCTTAGATGTGGATGTCCCAGCTTTGTCATGGGTAGTGTTGGCTCTATTTCTGTCTCCTGTTCCACAAATTACGCCCACAAACTATTGCAATACCAAGGGCAGAAATGTCAGCAGGACCAGCCAGTGCCATGACTGTCATGGAGCTGATGGCTTATACCTGAGTCCTGCCTGTGCTGTCAGTGTCACAAGCACCACAGTGTTGTGACTTCATACCTGACCCAGACTTGTCCTTATTGGGTCTAATGTCTTGTGCTTGCTCTTGTAATGAATCCAGCTGAGATGCAGGACAGCTCTTGAATCTTCAGAATGGCTCCCCTCTTACAAAGGAAGCCTGCCCACAGAGCACTTCCCCTCTTCCTAGGTGAGGCCGTGCCACTTCCCCACCTCCCTGCACCCTGCTTCCCTTCTGCTTGCTCTATAGACGTATCATGGTTCAGCCATCATGGGATTTCATCACGAAGAACTTCGCAAGGTAGCTGTAAACTTCACCTTGGCAGACACTCCCTTTGTTCGGACTGGGTGTGTAAGATAGAGGCACCACAGAGCCTGGCACATAGTAACCTTGCCTTTACTGGTGCCGGCATGAAGTTCAAACAGCTCTGCTTGGAAAGGGTGTCGAGCCCCACGGAGTACCTCAGGATGACTCCAGGCCCTGGGGCCTTGAAGTTACACTCATAGTGGACTTGACATGGCACGGGTGACAATGTCCAGCTTGTTATGCTAGAACCAGGCTGTGACTCCTTCTTTCACATGAGTCAACTGGTTATCTTCCATGCCAGGAAGGGTCTGTGCACCTGTGCACTTCCCCCCGGCTCCTAATTGCTACTGCTGAGCTGCCCTGCCTGTGTGCACTGTTTGAGCAGGTGGGGGATCCCGGCCTGTGTGCACTGTCTCAGTAGGGTGGGAGGAGTCTAGTCTGTGTGCACTGTGTGAGCAGAGCAGGAGGAGTCTAGCCTGTGTGCACTGTCTGAGCAGAGTAGGGGGAGCCCAGGCTGTGTGCAGTGTCTGAACAGAGTGGCCTGTGTGCACTCTCAATAGAGCAGGAGTTGCCTGACTTGTGTGCACTGTCTCAGTAGTGTGAGAGGAGTCCAGGCTGTGAACACTGTCTGAGCAGGATAGGAGGAATCTGGCCTGTGTGCACGGTCTCAGCAGCATGGGAGGAGTCCAGCCTGTGTGCAGTGTCTGAGCAGAGCAGAAGTCTAGCCTTTGCCAGGGTTGGAGAAGTCCTGCCTGTATGCACTGTCTCAGCAGGGTGGCCTGTGCTCAGGCTCACCTGTGAGTAATACCGTAGGACATTTTGCCCAGTTTAAATACTTACTCAGCTGTCTGCAGTTAGCTCTTTTCCCAGCCTGAGGTGGTAATGCATACTTACACCAGAGCATCACTACTGGGGATGCAGGCTGGCATAATGCAGAGAACTCATGTCTTCCTAAGCCTTGTCCCATCTCCACACTGTCATGGAGTCATTCAGAATCCTCATTCCTGCCTTATTTCTGTTTCTCCATTTGCAAGCATTGCCTAGCTGGTTTGTATATTTACTCTTTCCATCACTGGAATATCATGGGTATATGAAAAAGCGAATCAGTTGATAAGTCTTGTAAGCATTAATTTAATTTGGTAAGATTTTGCTGATCTGAAATGAGAAACATTGCCCAACGCTGGTGTTTTTGCAGGAAGTGGGCCTGTGTGTGCTGCACACAGGTCTGCACACAGCTCAGATGTGATATGTGTAGGGTCTCATGCTTTTTGCCTGGGCTGTCCTTGGACACAATCCTCCTACCTATGGCTCTTGATAGCTAGGATCACAGGAGCATACCATCATGATCAGCTTAACTAGACTTCTAAAAACATTTTGGGACCCATTTGATAAGGTCAGAAAGGGACAAAGGAAGCTTGGCCTGCTGCCACGGTAACTGGCCATAAAGTTCCTTTCAACTTGTACTTTAAGTTTTCCTACGGTGAAAATGTATAATCATCCTTCTGGAGGAGGTGACATTGGGTAGGAGTAGCTGTGCAGTGAGCTGCAGCAATGGCCACAGCCACAGAACACAGCCCATGGGTGCTGCCTGTGCTGTGTGTTAATGGAGTGGTCCCAGAGCAGAGGCACATTGTGATTGCTCAGGAAGCAGGTGGTGCAGAGCCCTTGCCCGGCTTTTGCTGCTCTGAGCTTTGCCTTCTGCCCACTACTCTTGAGAGGTCCTGTGTGTCAGGGACACTGATGACAGTCAGTGTAGGCTGCTGAGTTGTGTATTCTGCAAATATACCAGGCAGGCATATTTCTATTCTTGCTGTTCACTTAATCCTGTGCCAAGTTGAGCCTCGCTTCCTGGGAAAGGCCCACTTTCCCTCATTTCGTCTTCCTATTGAGGGTTGTGTGTATTTGTGTGGAAGGAGGCCTGTTTGTCACCCTGTATGTCCCCTTCCTTGCCCACAGCTTCTGAGGAAGAGGCACATCGGGAACGACATCGTCACCATTGTCTTCCAGGAGCCTGGGGCACTTCCCTTTACCCCAAAGAGCATCCGCTCACACTTTCAGCACGTCTTCATCATCGTGAAAGTGCATAACCCATGTGCAGAGAACGTGTGCTACAGGTGAGCCCACATCCCAGCCACTCCTCCCCACAGCGGCCTCTCTCATGACATCCCATTATTCTTCCAGCCCTGATTTTCTAATTCTGCTTCCAACTTAATCTCTCAGCTGCTTTCTGTAAGAAATAATTACCTTCTTCCCATTCCCCTCCCTTGATAAAAGAGAAACACCGGACGGTTCATAGGGACAGATGGTGCATTTCCTCAGCATCTCCAAAAGACTGAGCTGCCCTGCTACGCCCCTCAGAGTGTTGGTCCTGGCATCTGAGCTGGGGACATGAGGGTGGTGGCAGGAAATTATGCCTCTTCATCAGACACCCTAGAAGCCCACCTACTCTAAGCTGGACTGTTGAGACCAGGAGGCCACTCTTGCTTTGTTGACCCCAAAGGCCTTATATGTGCCTTGGCATCCTGAGACCATCCTGGCCAGGCCTGTTTTTAGTCCTTGCCCAGGTCTCAGACCCTATGGTAGGCAATAACGTCATGGTCATGCCATGTGGGTGTTGAAAGCACACTTTTCACCCAAGTTTGAATCCAGCTCTCTGCTTGTCATGGGCACTGTGGAGGTTTTCTGTTTTTCTTGACCTTCAACTCCTTGTCTTAAAATTGAGCATTGTACTACTTACTTCAAAATGTAGTTGTGCAATGTGACAAGCTTAAATTAAGCAAAACACCTGTGAGCGTTCCTGGCCCTCACCCACGGTGACTTTGCATTGTGATTTCAAAGCAGTCAAAGGCACTGCCTCCAGCCAGGCCGCAGATGCAAATTGTCCAACACAGGCCTGTGAGGACTGCAGAGAAAAAGAGCAGCCTGGAAACCACGGCTCTCGGCTGCCCTTGGCCTCCCGGTCAGTTGTCAGCCACATCAAGACTCTGGCCCACCGTGCAGGCGTGAGGCAGTGTTCCTGTTGATTCTTAGGCCTCTGAGCTTAGACCACTGGCCAAAGTACTCAGGACCACTGTAAGAAGAGGATATGTGGAAAAAATACAGTGCGTGTTCTGTACAAATGAAATGCTTAAAATAGACATTCAGATGCAAACGCGGTGAGTTGCGTTCTGGGATCTCACCCAGTGGGTGTAATTATGAAGACTGCTATATAGAGTGAGCCTTCCTAAGATTGGGAACCTAGGTCTAGAGTTTTATTGTACTTGGTGCTGTTTTACTGGCTGCTGTTTTTAGGTCAAAACAAGCACTTTTAATTACTCCCTGTCTTTCTGTTTATATCACGAGGTGTTTCATTAGCACAGCCTTTAGTGTCTGTTCATTTTTATGTCTTTTAAGTTTTTTAGGTCTAATTAAATTACTATAGAAGGAATGTGTTTTAAAACCAACATAAGTCTGACATAGAACAGAGGTGTACCACCTTGTCTTTTCCATGATGTGAGATGGCACATGCAGGTCCTTCAGAGTCAGTGGATTGTAAGGAACCACCTGTGGTCACCAAGTTAGAGCTTACTAATGGGATTCAAAGGGAAGCTAGTGGTCAGAATGGATGGCCTAGGTGACAAGGGTGGGGTAGGTCACCTTTCAGGAGGAAGTGCTGGGGATCCATTGCTTATCTTACTGTCCTTTCTTCCTCAGCGTTGGAGTTTCCAGATCAAAGGATGTGCCGCCATTCGGCCCCCCAATCCCCAAAGGCGTCACTTTCCCAAAGTCAGCAGTGTTTCGGGACTTCCTTTTAGCCAAAGTAATCAATGCAGAAAATGCAGCCCATAAATCAGAAAAATTCCGAGCCATGGCCACACGAACGAGGCAGGAGTACTTGAAGGACCTAGCCGAGAACTTCGTCACAACCGCCACAGTGGACACCTCTGCGAAATTCAGCTTCATCACCCTGGGTGCAAAGAAGAAGGAGAGGGTGAAACCCAGGAAGGACGCTCATCTGTTCAGCATTGGGGCCATAACATGGCATGTGGTGGCACGGGACTTTGGCCAGTCGGCGGACATAGAGTGTCTTCTTGGGATTTCCAACGAGTTCATCATGTTGATTGAAAAGGACTCCAAGAATGTGGTGTTTAACTGTTCCTGCAGGGATGTTATCGGGTGGACCTCCGGATTGCTGAGTATCAAGGTGTTCTATGAACGGGGAGAGTGCATCCTCCTGTCCTCAATGGACAACTGTGCGGAAGACATACGGGAAATCGTGCAGCGATTAGCAGTAAGTACGCGCTGCATGTCTTCTCCTGTCCTTGAATTTCAGTCCCAGGTTCCCAGTGGGTGCCCCCAGGGAAATCCCTCGCCACTGCAATGTGTGGGGAATGAGCTGGTGTTCCCACAGTGCAGACTTCATTTTCAGTGCGGGGTTCTCATGAGAGTTGCTGAGCAAGTGAGTGGTGGAGAAGCACCCATCCTAAAATGGTTAGAACGTTGCACTGACTTTCTAAAGAGCACTGGGCCCTATTGAACGGTACTGCAAGGAAAGCCAGCAGAAGTGCACAGATGTCCTGTCTGTCTGTGGTTACTGACCTGACAGGCATGGAATCACTGCTCGCCGTCTGGGTGGCACACCTTCACACCTTCACACCTTCCACTCTTACACAGGAGGCGTTTCTGCTTCAAAGTGTTAGACAGATCAAATATGTTATCAGTCTTCCAGCCATATTCCTTAAGGAGGTTTTGCAGAAATAGCCATTAAGTTAGGAAAACCTAAAAAGCAAGAAATCTGTCTTTTTTTTAAATCAGTTTTACATTTACTTACATGTGTATACACTGTTTGTGCCACCTCCCTCCTCCCCCGCAAGAAATCCATCTTAAAAGAGATTTTTTGTATGTGATTTTTAGTCCACAACTACACCGTGCCCGTGGTGTATAGCAGTCATATTGTGCTTGTACAAAGCAAGATTCAGATTTCAGTTTGAGTGTAGGCAGTACAGCAATATGAATTAAATCAAAGTTATTCCCTGTTACTGTTTGGGGTATTATTAAGAAGAACATGCTTTAACTACCCAGCGTCTCACTTGTAAATCTTTCCCCAAGAGCGATGTATTTTTTTAGTTAGAAAAGATTTGGTCAACTATGAATCATATAAAAAGGAAAAATTATATCTACTTCTTGGCCTGTTTCTTCCCACTGAATGTAAATCTCCCTTTGTTATTAGAAGACCCTGAATAAGAATAAAATCAGGTCAGTGTCTGTCAGCCTTGGAGAATAGTCTCGTTCATAGCAGGCACTGTCTACAGTAAAGACCCGACCCGGTACGAGTGTGGGGCACTCAGAATGTGAGCAGTCAAAAAGCCTGGAGCAGGGACTCTCAAGCTAAGTCGAGCTTTGAGTAAAGGCAGATGCTTCTTATAAGCATATCCGTGCGTCATAACACCTACAGCCCTTCACCCGCCACCAAAACACACCTTCCATGCGTGTCCATGTGGGCGCTCGTACACCCTACTCCTTGGACTCTGCCCTGCCCCTTCCCCAGCAGTACGACTGCTTCCTGGTTGACTAATGTGCCTGATGTCAGATGTAGACCCAAGGAGCCGTGCTCAGGTCCATGGTGACTTGTTGCTAGAGATACTGGAAACCAACCACCCTGCAGACCAGGAAGGAGCATAAGGAACAGAGTGATGACCTTAAGAAGGAAAGGGGAGGGGGCTACCATGGAGGAGGTGCTGGGAACCGCTGCCTGTTTGCAGATGGTGAAGTCATGTCCATCCCAGGATGCAAAGCAGAAGTGAAGGTTCTGTTATGCAGGTAAAAGTACAGGAAGGGAAGGAGAGCTTACACCCAGAGGGTGGCACAGGTGAGGCAGCCCTGGGCTGTCTGTGTGAATCCCACAAGGACCACCCTCAGACGAGCCATACTTGGTTGAGGGCTCAGCTGTCAGCATGTTGACTTTCTTAATCATTTTGAACTAGACCCTGCATTTTATAGTGCATTTTATGGCACTGGGTCCCACCAATGACCTGGCCAGTCCTGAAGAGTGAACAGGTGGCCACTATTTTTACGTGATTGTGTGAGTACATGAGAAACTCCAGAAGGGTGGAGAACCTGGTCCCTTGGACTTGGGGGTTTTATAGAGGCAAGGAATAATGGAGATAAAAGTAATAACAGCAAAAAGCCAGAGTAGGGGAGGCGGCAGGCAGGTGAGGAAGCCAGAGCGCAGGACTGTGGTGCCGCCCCGCCTTGGCTCTTGAGTGGACTGTGTGGATGTTGAACTTCAGCTGACAGCTGCATTGACACCTGAAAGATGTCAGGGAGGGTTGCGCAGAACAAAGTCCAAGAAGACAGAAGGAAATTTTGTCAGTTGTGCATATTCCACCAGTGCTTTTTCTGCAATATTAAATTGCCTCCGTTCATAACTTTAAAAACTTGAATCTTTCAAAACTTTACCCCAACTAACACTTAGCAATTACCTTCCTCCTGTGGAGTCCCAAATGACACACTTGTCTGGGAGAAGCTGACTGGTGGTGTGTACACTTTGGGTAACCATGGAAACGGGTGCAAGGCTGATGCTGGGAGCCAGCCCATCCCACAGCCATCCCCACCACATCCCCACCACCTCAGGGCTCATTAAGTAGGTATTTGTGGAAACGTAGTGTTTATTAAACTGAAACTGCGCACACCACCCCAGGGCTTTGGGGATGGGGTGTGATACCTCCCAGCTTGAAGTTTCCCACAAAAAGGTGAAGTCAGAGTCCTCAAATGGGGTTTAATGAGCCGTGTTTTCTTTCATGGTGCTGTATGCCCTGTTTAGTCAGCGCCTTGAAGTCAGAGGGCTACATGGACTAATTACTGAGCCTGGAGCCCCGCGAGCAGTGAAACCAGCCCATTCCTTTCATGCTCTTCCCAGGGTTGCGTGGACTCCCTCTCTTCCAGAAGGAATGCGCCAGGCAGCTGCCTCTGCCTGCGGTTGCCCTTGGCCCACGGGATGGACAGGAGGAGGAGAGAGGGCCACAGGCACAAATGGTCCCTCTGCTCCTACCAGCACTGTCCTGCTCAGTGCCCTATCAGCAGATGGTCAAGGAAGACTGGCTTGGCATGGCCAGTCATTCCCAGGAGAGGGGCCCAAGCGAGCAGAACAGGATGTCCACAGGCTGGTGGACCGAAAAAGGGAGCAGAGGGAGTTGGCTGAGCCCAAGTGAAGCTCAGGAGGTCCCTGTCAGTGTGTCTAAGGAAAGGCAGGGCTCCTGTGTCAGGAATCAGTGGGCCTCTGGGCAGTGACCAGCATGGTGCTTTTGTTACTGTGTGTGTGCACCTATTGCCCAGGTCACCTGTGCTGTAGTCTATTTAAAGGTCCTGCCTTGCCACTTGGGCAGAGAAGTGGCCAGAGGGCTGAAGGAAAAGGGGCTGACATAGAACCTGTTTCCAGGTCTCTGACAGCCCCCTGTGGCAGCTGGGGATGGAAAGCGAGGACCTCTCTCACTGTCTCCTTCCCCTCAGATAGTGACAAGAGGCTGCGAGACCGTAGAAATGACCCTGCGGAGGAACGGGCTAGGCCAGCTCGGCTTCCACGTGAACTTCGAGGGCATTGTGGCTGACGTGGAGCCCTTTGGCTTTGCGTGGAAGGCGGGCCTGCGCCAGGGCAGCCGCCTTGTGGAGATCTGCAAAGTGGCCGTGGCCACGCTGACGCACGAGCAGATGATTGACCTGCTGCGGACTTCCGTGACGGTCAAGGTGGTCATCATTCAGCCCCACGACGACGGCTCGCCCAGGAGGTAAGCACCAGAGGGAGCAGCCCCTCCTCCTTTGCCACTGGAGCCAGAGGTAGTCCTGAGCCTTCTGCAGGGCCCCCGTGGCCAGGTCACTGGGATGTCAGCCATTAGAGACATGGAAAGAACTTGGGAAAGGTGGTCGTGTATTAAGTGACAAGTTGTAACTTTCTGAGGAATTTAGAGGGACGCTGACCCCGTGAAAGCTGAGCTACTGTAGACCAAGGGGAAGGGCAGGGGCAGGACTGGCCAGTGAAACCAGGGTCTGCAGGTACACAGCCTGTGGTCCAGTGCAGCCCTCCGTAGCACGCACAGCTCAGCTTCTTTCTGTAACAGGAAGTCATCCGTGATTAGCAAGATGCCTAAGCCATAGTGCTGTGTGTCCAAAGGGGTGTCAGACACCAGACGTCCTCTGTAGCAACTACCGTATTTGCAAACTGAAGCTTCAGAGGTGTTAGCAGGCCCACAGAATAATAAAGCCTTGTCAGGAGAAACATGGTTCAAGAAATGGCGGGGCTGGGAAGCTGAGAGATGCACAGCAGCAGGGGAGGGACAGGAGTCCCTAACAGAAAATAAGAATGTTCAGAATCACAAAAATACTAGACCAAAAGGAGAAGGAGATGGGTTGAGAAGGTGGCACCTGCAGCCTGGGACCCAGGTTGTAGGACAGGTCTAGTGGGGTGTCTCCAGTAAGGCCACTGCCCTTTCCAGCTGGGTTCCTGCAGGCAACCTGCAGAACACTAGTTTTAGAGTGATGGGGGAGGCTTTTGGTCAGGGTCTCTTTTGCTGGTTGTGGTGACTCGTGTTCTCTGTAGGCCCCCTCACAATCTGTGACATGAAGGTTAAATACAGTTTTTATGAAGATTACATAAGGTGATGTCTTAAAGCACTTAGAACCTTCCAGCATAATCAGTGCTCCCACATTTTAATTTACAGAAAACTCTAGAATGTCCACTTGAATTTCCTTCATATTAAAAAGGAAGTTATTGGACTGGAGATGTGGCTCAAGTGGTAGAACGCCTGCTTTGTAAGCATGAAACCAAGAGTTCAAACCCCAGTCCCATAAAAAAAAATAAGAAGAAGAAAGAAAGAAAGAAAAAGGAAATTCTTATTCAGGAACAGCAGGACTGCTGTGCTCGCTTTCTAGACTTGGGACTCCAGGGTGTCCTTTCTCCTTCCTCCATCTGTTTGTCCTTCAAACCAGGGCTGCCCAGTAGCACATTCTGTGATGGCGTATTCTGCATATGTGCTGGGCCCACACCACATGTGGCTGTCACACACTTGAAATGTGGCTGAATTTTTCATTTTAAATAATTTAGATTTAATTAGCCATGTGTGGCTAGTGACTGCCCTTGTGGATAGATCAGCTCTAAACTGTGACCTGTGAGAAAACAAACTTAGTCTATGGGTAAGGCTCCAAGGTTTGCAAATGTCTCTTTCTGTTAATCTTACCATGTGTTCCTATCCTCAGTCATCATTTTGTTGCATTTGGTTGGTTTTTGCCCCAGTGCTGGAGATGAGACCCAGGGCTTTGCACACGCTAGACAAGTGCTCCACCACTGAGCTGTTCCCAGCCTGACTTTTGGTGGCTGCCTTTCCTGTGTTTGCTCAGCACGTTTATGAATAAAGGCTTGAGGAGCTGAAATTCCTATTAGCGGGTCAGTCCCATGTCACGTGAAAGTCCTAAGGTGTTTCTCACTGTCCTGCTGGATTTTGCCCTGATAAATCCCTCTGTTCTCCCAGGACCCCAGAAATCACACTTAGTGGTATGAAGTCAAAGAAAATAAAGATGGAAAGCTGTTTTATTCAGAATTAAACTTGAAAGAGCTAAAGGCCAGTACTTGAGGCCTTAGAAGCTAAAATATTGTGAGGGTGGAATATCCCTAGAAAGGTCTCTGTATGGTGAGATTTTTTTTCCCTGTTAGTATAGAATGAAGTCTTCCATCTGTCTTAGAGACTGATTACCGTGGAATGGAGCAAAAATGTTGCCGTGTCCTTCCTTTGGGTTAACCAAGAACTTTTCTTGTCTGCTTTTTAGGTTTGATTACTGTTGCTCAGTAAGAAATTCTTTAAGCTCTTGAGACATCTAGTTAATAAAAGCAATGAAGTTACCATTACGTCTGTCATTTGGAACATATAATTTCAAAGAACAGAATTCCCTAAGAAATACTGAATTGTCTTTCAGCTAAAACAAATAAACAAGAACTACGTTGTGAAGGTTCTAGCTATTGTCTTTCCCCCAAGAACATGTTTTTCCTCTAAAACATTATCTGCGTGACCTACATACAGTCAATCCTTTGAGGCGCAAATTCTCTTATTTATCTCCTTGGCCTTTGTTTCCTGGAAGTGTCACTAATGTCCTTCCCTGAGTACTAGGGTGGCTTTTCCTCCCGGTTAATCTGAAAGAAGCTTCTTCTGTACTGCGCCTTAGCCAGCAGGAGTAGGGTGAGCTGTCTGCCTAGCTGTAACCTCACCATGTAACCTCGCCATTGCAGTGCCTGGTCCACAGTTCTGCAAGCCATGGGGTCGTAGGCCCAGCGTGCGTCATTTAGAACTCTTTCAGTTCAGTCTTCCATATTTCTGTGCCTCTGAATTTGTAAATGTTTTCAATCTGTGTTTGTGTTACTTCTGGGTTTTTCACCTGCGACTATCTGGGTCCTGTCAACAGTGCTTGCTGTGGTCAGGGCCTCTGTAGCTGGAGGTCCCCTGCGGCCCCAGCCTGGGCTTCAGACTACAGTGTGCATCAGAGGGGCCCTTTTTGTTTGGTTGCTTGTGTTCAGTGTTCTAGGGATGAACCCCAGGCCTTGAGAATGCTAAGCAGGCAGGCTACAGCCTGGCCCACTTAGGGGCTAAGAGGGGAAGTGGGTAGCTCTTGACTCATTTAAAAACTCTTTAAAGGAAACCTTTATGCCAAGCACACAAGAATGTGCCTCCAGCTATAACTATCATTTGATCTGTGGCATGGAAAAGTGCCTCCACCTTCTTTCACAAGTTGACTCTCAGGGTCCGTCAAGGAGGGAGGTAAGTTCATTTAAATAAACAGATAACTGCATTTGTGTGTATGTGTGTATGATTTTTTTTCTATTCAGTTGTCCTTAAGGTAAATGCCACATGGACTCCAAAACTGACCAAATTGACTAATTGCATGGCATTTTAGCCTTCAGAAGCATGGCGAAAATGCTTCCATTCATTTTTGCCTCCGTCAACTCCATATTAGCTTTGCAGAATATTAGCGAGGAAATAATGTGACTTGGAGGGAGCCCATCTGCTGTCAGCAGCCCAGGCCTGTCACTCAATAGCTCTGGCTTCTACTTGTCCTGGGGTCAGGAGACTCCCACTTATGGCTCAGACTCCGATGCACTGAATGGAGTCCTCTGCAGGAAAGTATTTATGGTGCATCAAAGCCACCTGCATTTTGAGGCCTTTTCTCCAGCCCGGGATGAGGCCTGTCCAGCTGCTTCAGACTTACAAGGAAGACCAGCCAGTTTTAGCTTCCTGGTTGGCGTTGCAGGGAGCTCCAGCAGGGAGGACCCCTTGGGAAGGTTTATTGGGGCGGGGAGGCAGTCTCCTTCTGGGGATGGGACCCTGAAGTAAATTCACTTCCAGCCAGTGGGTGGCTAGAAGCACTCTTCAGGTAGAAATGAGCTTCCAAAGTGGTGGGAGGGAGAAGAGGTAGGAAGGGGGAGGAGGAAGATAGAGGAGAGGAGGCCATGGCTACTGCCCTAGCAGTGGCCTTTGTGACAGACAGGAAGAAGAGTTGCATTGCCCAAGATGCTTAATTAAGATCATTCTTGGTTTTACAAGGGGTGGTGACTGACATTTTGTTAGTGTCATTTTAAGGAAAGCACAACATTAAAAGGCTGATATCTAAAGGAAGTAACAACTCATCAGAATTTTGCATGAGTTGTTATACAAGGCGAGTGGATTTGGTAAATATGCCCAATAAAAATGGAAATGAAGCTCCTTGCTGCAGTGTGTCCATCTTGTGTGGTTTTTCGTGCTTTGTTGATGGACTATCCAAGACATTTTTCTATATAATGCAAAACCGTGCAAGTTCTCTTAGCCTAATGGTTGTTCTCTTATCATTCTATAAAATTCTGTTTTGCTGCCCACTGCCTGATTGTTCAACACCCTAAAGAGGGATGGGGACATAGGAACAGGAGAAAAAGCCAGTGTGTCACTGTGTGTGTGTGTGTGTGTGTGTGTGTGTGTGTGTGTGTGTGTGTGTGTGTGTGTGTGGGGGGGGGTAGATATGCTGTGTTAAATCATGCAGTGCCAATTTATCTGAACGGATAATAAAAACTGGATTATATCTGATCTTACCTTTTGGACCCTCCAGTAATGAATTCTCATGTGAAATGTCAAGACAATCCAGGACCTAAGGCTATAAAAGTGAACTGATGTACACTCATTCTTCCGAGTTCCTCCCACATCCTCCAGTTACCCTTCCCTGCAGTGACAGCAGGGGCTACAGGTGCTCAGGTGAATTGCCTGCATTTATTTATTCATTTTCACTCACTCTTACCTAGTTTGTGCCAAAATCTTGGCTGTTAGCATGACAGACATCGTCTCTACTTTCCTGGACTCCTTGTAGCCTGCCATTCAAAAACACAGTACTCCTGTTCACGTTTTGGCTACTTGAAATGTTTTCGCAAACACTCTATTTGACAATAAGGATCTCAAACTAATACAGAGGACGCTTTCACACTCCCTTCTGTACTCTAGAGCCCATGGTTTTTACATTTTGCATGTTGGGCTGTTCCTGCCCCTAAAAGGAACACAGAGTGTGACTGTGAGGCATGAGCCGCTTCTTGCTGACCAGGCTGTGCATGGCCTTGGTAATGGGTGGCCATTGGACACTCCCCTCATAGGCACCTGTTCATCAGGTAGTTCCTGGGAATCTTCTCTGTATAATTTTAAATTATTACTGTATAGTAGAATTTTATTCCTGCATTCAGCCTTTCTAAGGAAAGAAAAAGGAAGTGGCTCGGTTCAGCAAGGACTTT